CCTTGATCTGCACATAACCTTTTTTGAAGCTAATCCTTATATCTCTTTATTGCATTTTTCTTTCCACTCAAAAGTCGCCTGGGTAAAAAGTTTTAAAAGAGTTTTGGGTGAGCCTTAGGTCCAGTGAATCCACGGTTTTCATGCACGAAGAACAATTTTTACAATAAACAATTTTCACGAAGCTTTATAAATTTAGTCTGCCTTGATGAGAATAATACTTTTCACAAAATAAATATTTTATAGTGCGTGTCTACATCACAAAGCAACAGCATCATGAGAGATGTATACCTTACATAGTATTACCTAGCGACCTCACACAGTAATACCTAACGAACTCACATAGCATGTCCGCACTTACGGCTTAGACAAACTCACAAAGCATGCTCGTCTTTACAAAATCATACCGTAGTACATCYCCATTGACACACAAGTACTCAAAACACATATTATAAAAATATCGAACTTTTCACGCATATATAACATATCAAAAATCTCGAGAAACTTCAAACAACTGTGGGATAATAAGGCATGCAACCATTTTAAAAATAAATCACGTGTAACTCACAATACATGGCGTAGCCCAAACCGATATTTGAAGTGGCTACCGTCTCCCCGATTGGTGCCAAACTAGCTACGATGTAGAGCACCGTCAACTCTCATTACAGCGTCCACCGTCGCCTTTTCTCACAATAGTTCTCCTTCTTAACCCCAAACTACACATAAAGCTACAAAACTCCCATTTTATACTAAGCCCCATCGGCGGTTTCACGGAATATGAAACGATAAGCCATAATTAATGGTCGTCGGTTTCATGACCATTGAGTTTCCTGTCATTAAATTACATTCAATTTATTTTTTATTTTTATTTTTTTTGGTTATTACAAATTGTGCAAAATCATATTCATCAATTCATGCATTAATCTATTTGCATGTTTCCATGTTTCATGTTTGGAAATCATTGGAAAACAGGAAAAGAAGTCGAACAAATAACATGAATCGTTCAATACTATAATCACTTAAGTGCTCAACAATCAACTTTGATCTAAGTATTCATTAATTGGGTTCAACGCTGCTATTATGCTAAATTGATTAAAACAAGCTGTTAGTTTTACCGAAAAGAAATATTGCTTCCTAATCGACTTAACCTCCTCTCCTCTATTGCAATAAGTATTAACTAAGATCATATACATTATACATATAACTGAAATATGAATGATAACAACGAAGAAAACTCACCGAAATCGTTGATTTTAGCTCCACAAATCACGACAAAAGGAAAACCATCAAATGATCAAATCGAAAAACTGAAATCGAAATCTGCTCAAATCGAATTCGTTGATTCTTCTCAAATAAAAAAAAAATGAAATCAAATTCGTTGATTCTGCTCAAATAAAAAAAAATGAAATCGAATTCGTTGATTCTGCTCAAATCAAAAAACTGAAATCAAATTCATTGATATCTGCAAGGAACTGATCGAAGCGTTGCCTTGTCGGTTCCTGTTATGAGTTATTGAGGCGTTGCCAGTGTGAATATTGGGCCCCAAAATTTTGGGGGCCCTGCTCTTACTCTGCTCTAAGTAACAAATGTAACGGGCCATGTGACGAGCGTGCATACATCAAATGTGGTATGTTAGGATGCTCACAACCATCCTAATTAATAGATTGATTAATCGAACTTATACATTATATAAATAAAAATTGTGTGTCATATCTGTAGGACTTAAGTAAGTTATCATGACATATTTTGATAACCTAACAATTTCTATCCTTATAGAAAGATAAGTTGTTAGTATAAAAGTTGGATAACCTAGTAGCACTCATATTAGGTCTTTTTATTAAAGATTATTTTAAAAGTGCATATAAAAGTATCTTATGAATAGTCAAATTTTGTTATAGTAAGTTTGGCATAATTTTGATATTATTTTCCAAAAGGTAATACCTTATACAAAACAAGCTAAAATAAACCACCACTGCAATAAAATAGGATTTATATGATGTTAATAATTTTTAGGTGTCACAATAGATCTAAAAGTGTTGTAATAAGTTTATAGGACGTTTTAGTAGTTTTAACATATTTTTAAGACATTTTTAATACAAAATGTCGTATTAGCTATTTTACAGGACACTTTTGAGAAGTGTCCTATGAATACGTATCTTTATAAGACACTTTTCCAAATAGTAATACAACAATTTTTTACAGAAACTGTCCTAAAAAACTTGTTACGATATCCAAAAACGTCCTATAAATTTATTAGATTTTTGGATGCGACGATTTATTGTTTAGTACAACAAATTAAATCTTATAACACATTATATTATAATACTTGGACATTTTAAGTATCCTATAAACTCAATTTTGTTGTAGTGCACTTAAATATTTTACATGAGATAGTTACTCATTGGTTTTTAATTAATGTTAAAATCGATCCACAAAATGTTGGGGGTGCACGTATGCAATCAATGCGAGTAACGAGTCGATGAATAAGGGTAGAGTCATTACCCATGACGATGATGTCATCCACATATACTACGAGATAGAGAATGACATTGCCTCGACTAAATAAGAAAAGAGAGTTATTGGCACAAATCCAAGTGGAACCATGTTGTAAGAGAAAACCACTAAACTGTTGGAACCAAGATCTAGGAGCTTGAATTAATCAATAAAGGGCCTTCTTTATAAAATATACATGATTCGTATATGTAGCATCAACATAGCCCAGGGTTGTTTTATCTAGATAGTTTCACAAAGAAGACCATTTAAATGCATTTTTGACATCAAGGTGGTATAGTGACCAACCATGCATGATGACAAGTGCTAAGACAATGCGAAACGTAGAGGCCTTGGCCACGGGACAAAATATTGAAGTAAAATCAGGACCTAGAACTCGAGTATACCCTTGAGCAACAAGTCATGCTTTAAGGTGTTCAACTGTACCACCAGATTTATTTCGTGCGAAAGACCAATTTTGCCCCCAACAATATTAGCATTTGTGCATCTTGGTACGAGCTCCCAATTGTTGTTGGATTTAGCACACTTAGCTCGTCATCCATAACTAGAACCCATTCAGGATGCTTGACGGCAGATTTAAAATCACGTGACTTTTTTATGCATAAAAGAGCATTGATAAAGTTTAATGAACAATTAATAGGAGATGTTGGATTAATGGTGTAAATATACTAGCCTTGCTTCTTGTTACCACGCGATACGTGGTTTGCACATCAGCTAAAGCAATATCATGTTGCCCAGATGGTGAGGAGTTTGGCAAAGATTTGTGAACCACACCATCTGTTGAGTGTGCACCTGTTGAATGCCCATTTTCACTGTAACACCTCTAATATAGGAGAAAATTTTGAATTTCAAAGACTTGTAATTACCATAATAAGAAGAGTATTTACCAACAAAGAAGACAATGCTGATTGATTATATTAGAGAAAGCTTAATTGGCAATGACTGATGTCCGACTCTAAGAGTCTGCATCATAATGTCCCCAACAACCCAATGCCTATTTCAAGCTAGAAGAAGGGAAGGCCATCCTGCTTTAAAACACAAAATGAATTCAACTCCTATGGATCCATTGCATTACAGTTTACTACCTATCATAACCTCATTTTATTCAACTATAATCAAACATATAATTTGTAAAAATATACGGTTAAATTACCAAATCCAAAACTGATCAACTATTCACGTCTCACCATTTTACTTGAATCATTTTCCTCCTCTCATAATCAAATAGTAGATCTTTTCTTTACAAGAATTTTATATAAAAATAATGACACCTCTTCAAATGGTGCTCACCTCATTTTAACCTAAAACTATGAAATTTATACTTATAATATAATTTTAGTCCAAGTGATATCACTGACATTTCAAAAGGGTTCAAATATTTAGGTTACCAAATAGGCAAAATCCCTAAATTTTCCCAAAATAATCAAAGTGAACCAAAATCCACAGATACAATAAATACACCATGGGGGAAAATAGGAGTTAAAATGGAGTATTTTACATGTATAATGTTTTATAAAAGGGGAAATATGAACTCACTTGTTAGGTGTTGGGTCATTGATTAGCATCTTCTTAAATCGAAACGTGATGCTGACTACTACGCTATAAGGAAATAAGGTGCGCCTTCTCCACCAGCAACTACTTTTGGCGCAATGGTAAGCGCTTGGATCCTAACATGTGGTATCAGAGAAGGTCATGGGCTTCGAATCCTATGGAGTGCATAATAATGCCAAAGGTATGTTGTGTAGCCATTGACTTCTATTGAAGATCTTGTTAGTGCTGGCAGATGCTGGGGGGGGGGGATTGTTGGATCATTGACCAACATCTTCCTAAATCTAAACGTGGTGCTGACTGCTATGCTATAAGAAAATAAGTTGCGCTTCATCCACCAACAATTGTTTTTGGCGTAGTGGTAAGCTCTTAGATCCTAACATTAGGTTTTCGAGAAGACCAAAAAATGGACAAAGAAGCTCTAGATCTTGGAGGAGAAACTTGAAGCTTCTTCCAAATTTAATCATTGGCTTAAATGCTTATCCAAACTCTAACAAATTAGCCATAAAAGCTCTCTAGGTCGATATTAATGAAGGGAGAGAAGAGGAGAAGAAAGTATGAGAAGAAATGAGACGAGTTAGGGCAAAGACCTCAAAAATCAAGATTGTATCTGCCCAGCAGCTCCTTGCCTGTGACCCCAAGTCCGACAGCAAGTCATGCGTCCACTTTAGCACCGAGTCACAGTGAGTTATGCGACCTGGGCAACAACCCTAAGTCGCGTGCCAAGTCACGAGAAGGACTGTTATGTGCGCTTTTCCTTGTTTTTTCCAAGATTCTTTTGCACAAAAACTTATTGAAATTCACGGGTACTAAAAGACTTGATATTAATATTTAAAAGGTCAAAACATAAGATTAACGCCATAATAAAATTATTTAAAATCCCGACTGTTATAATCCTCCCAACCATGGAAATAGTTTTGTCCTTGAAATATTGTCTTACACAATTAATTGGGATAACGTCCTTTCATGTTTTCTTCGCCTTCCCTATTGGCACCACCATGGTGCTTCCATTGCACCTTAACCATCATGATCCCTTTGTCACAAAGATTCTTCAACTTCCTCTCGAGGATGGCATTCGATTTTTCAAGACAATGGTTGCCCTCATCCACACTATTAACTGAAAGAGGAATGATGCAAGTAAACACATGTGAAAGGTGTTATGGTTCCTTTCATTTTGGGCGGTACATCTAATTTGTAGGCTTGGAGTCCAACCCAAAACTCAACAAGGTAAACAACTTAAGGAAAAGAGAATTGAGCTTCCCTTTCTTCGTGAACCATATGATGCCTTTCCAATGGGACATTTTCAACATGCAATATCCTACTTGGAATTCCATTGGCCGCCTTTTCTTGTCGGCATAACTCTTCTATCGGTCATGAGCCTCCTTCAAGCACTCCTAAATGCCATTAACTTTTCCGGTAGTTTCTTGAACAATCTCTAGGTCAGAAAAATCCTTCTCGCCTACTTCCAACCAACAAACATTGTTCTACACTTATGACCATATAAAGTTTCAAAAGGTATCATTACAATGCTTGAATAGAAGCTTTCATTGTTGGGAAATTCAATGAGTGGTAGATGAGAATCCCAATTCCCACCAAAATCTATAACACAAGAGCACAACATATCTTCAAAGGTCTGAATAGTTCTTTGGCTTTGGCCATCAGTTTGGGGATGATATGTGGTACTTAGTTTCACTCTCGTACCCAATTTCTTCTGCAATCCATCCTAAAAGTTTAAAGTGATCGACTATTCAGATCCGGAACAATCGACAAAGGCACTACATGTTAAAAACAACTTTATCAATGTACAGCTTCGCTAGCTTGTCCGTTGATATATTTTCTCTGCTTGCAACAAAATAAGCATTTTCGGTCAAACGATCAACCACCACCCAAATTGTGTCGTGACCCTTCAAGGTTTGTAGCAACTTGGTCACAAAATCCATGATGATGTGCTCCTATTTTCATTCGAGGATCCCTAAGGATTGAAGACTCCCATACAACTATTGATCATGTCTTCAACTGCAAACATGTCACGTGTGTTTCTACATAGTTAACCATGTCGAGTTTCATAATCGGAAACCATTAATTCAACTTCAAGTCTATATACTTCTCCTTGCTCTCTCGATGAATAGCATTCTTGAGCTTGTGAGTATCCTCTAGTAATAAATCTAGGTTACCTCGAATCTTGGGCACCCAAACATGAACTCTAAAGAGTTTCATACCTCAACCATCTTTGGTCAAAAGGAGACATTGCTTTACCATCACTTTAGTTTTCAGGTTCTCTTCCAACAATGCTTCAGCTTGCGATGCCTTGACCTTTTCGATCAAACTTACATAATTTTTATCCTCGAGAGTGTGGCCCAAACGTTACTGTTATATTCCTTTTGGCTCAAAATGTCGGCTACCACATTTGTTTTACCCCAACGATAGAGTAACTCGCAATCATAATCCTTGAGTATCTTTAACCAACAACATTGTCTCAGATTCTACTCCTTCTAGTTGAATACATATTTTGGGCTCTTCTAGTCAATAAAAGATGTACACTTACTACCATAGAGGTAGTTTCACCACAACTTTGAAGTGAATACCATCATCATTAATGCCAATTTATGGGTAAGGTAGTTACGCTCATTCTCTTTGAGTTGTTGTGATGGATAAGCGATCACCTTTCCCGGTTGTATTAAGACACAATCCAAACCCATCTTGAACGCGTCACTATAAACCATAAATTTTAAGACCATTTGGGTAAATATAGGATTGGTGTATTACACAACTTCTTCTGAAGTGCCCTGAACGCAGGTTCTTGGGCATCGGTCTACAAAAATTTGATATTTTCTAAGTTAGGGTCGTTAAAGGTAGAGAAATGTTGGAAAAATGTTGAATAAATCTTCGGTGTTTTTCATGCTCCATCTCGATCTTGGATTAAGCGAGTATATCATCAACAAATACAATTATAGAGTTGTCAAGAAATGGTCTACACACTCGATTCATCAAGTCCATAAACATCACCGGCCCGTTCGTTAGTTCAAATGACATTACTAAACACATGTAATGACCATAATATGTTCGATAGTCCATATTTGAAATTTTATCACTCTTCACATTCACTTAATGGTAACCTGAATGAAGGACGATCTTTGAGACATAATTCCCTTCTTGAAGTTGATTGAATAGATCGTTGATACTAATAAGGGGGTGTTTATTCTTTACAGTCGCTTTGTTGAACTCCTGGTAGTTAATGATGCCTCCTCATAGTGTTATCCTTCTTATATTAAAAATATCTTGGTGCTCCCCATGACGACGAGATTGGTCTCACACATCCTTTTTCAAGAAGTCTTGAAGTTGAAGCATCATCTTTGGCACACCCGAAATGAGATAAATCAAGAAATCTACTTGTCGGCCGGGTAGCAAACTAGGCAAGTCATTGGGGAAAATATCGAGGAACTCGCATACAACCCTCACATCAAGAAGTTTCTTTTTATCTAATTTGGTATCCAACATATATGTCAAGTATGATGGTCCTTTGACTAAGCAATTGCAAAAATTTTGCCATAGAGATGACATTGATGTCCCATTTTGTTTTCTCCTAGAAAAATACGACATCATCATTCGACGTCAAAATCCAAGTCATTTTCTCAGAGCATAAAATTATGCTTGGTTTTCAACTAACTAATCCATACAAATCACTACGTCAAACCCACTTATCAACATTGGTAATAGGTCAAAAAAAATTCCTTCCCTTCAATTTGTAAGACGTAACCCTTGAAAATCTCCTGAATCAAGATTTGACTAGCATTCGCTATTTCTACTACCAAAGCATCTTCTAAGGTAGCAATAGGCGCAGGTTCCATAACAGTTCACACTACAATCAAACAAGATATGTGCAGGTAGGAAGTTAATGAGAAACGTACTCGAAACCATATCAGTCAAAGTTTTGCCTGCTCAACGGTCATCTGAAATGCTCTACCTTGAACCCTTGGAGGGTTCTCCTTCCTTCATTGAATTCCACCTGCCTTTAATTTCAATTAATCTTTCTTGAAATGCCCTGGCTCATTGCATTTGAAACAAATAAGCCCTTTGACAACACAATCTCTTATCGTCTGACCAGGATTTATGCATTAGAAGCAATCACGTTGCTTGATATATATTTACCTAAGTGCTTTCACATACATCTCTAACATTGAAAGTACACGAAGATTGCTTCAAAATTCACCAAGGAAAAAAGTCTGAAGAGAAGACTTCAGAATTTTGCATTTCAAAATTGTAGAGTTCTATGTGAAGAAAATCATGCAAGTTAACTCTTAAAGAATTGTCTTCAGATCTCTGTATTGGAAGACTTTAGAGTTCGAATAACAAGATCTCCGGCGCATAAGTGTAAAGTCTGAAGAGTTGATCTTCAGAGTTATATGAGAAGACCCGAAGAGCCTACAAGTGTTAATCTGAAGACGAAGTCTGAAGACCTTGAGTTCAGAGTTATTATAACTCTGAAGAGGATCATGCCTATCCTGAAAACAGATTATTTGCGATAGAGATTATCTTTCCAAGTTTATAGGATTTTGTTTCTTTGTTTAATAGATAAGATGATCCTCTATTTAGATAGATAGGTTTCTAGTCTATTCTTTATGAATCGAAATTCATTCATTCATTGTAAGAAGATTGCTCTGCATATTTTGTGTAAACAACCTTATTTTCAATAAAATAAAACCTTTGGCTATTCATACTCTGTTCTTATTGTTACTAATATTGATACATGGGCACTTTCAATTAGTATTAGAGCCTACAACTTTCAAATTATATTCCATATTGTTGAATCGATATCACAATATAAAGATGTCAAAAAAGTATGTTAGCATTGGATCAGAGACAAAACCTCCTTTTGTTCGTAGGGGAGTATCACCGATGGATGATTCGATGATCCAGTTTCTGGAAAATTATTGATGAAGATTGATAGGAGGGCTTTCACTCTCCTAACCATGGCTCTACCCAATGAGGTATTCAACAGGGTAGACAATTTGACTTTTGTTAAAGCCATGTGGGATGAGGCAGAGTCCAAAATGTAGGGAGGAGAGAAGGCTATGCAAAACAAAGTCAATATCTGCATATGAGCCTATGAAAGATTCAAGGCAAGGGAATCTGAATCTATCTCTAAAACATATGGAAGATTCAATGACATACTCAATGACCTCAGAAGGAATGGTGTGCAAAAGATAAATTTTGAAATAAACAACAAATTTTTGAAAAATCATAGGCCAAAATGGTATACTTTTGCTGATAATCTTCTAAGCGCCCATGATATCTTTGCATACTAAACCAACATGAAGAAAAATTCATTGAGAGAATGTCAGAGAAGAAATAGGTTCATGACTCTCTTGCCCTTATCTTTGAGAAGAAATACAAGAGTAGCTCTAAAATAACTTCAAAGATGATGGAGATTCTAGAGGTGGGCCCTGCATCGGACTTAGAAAATGTTGACTCTGATATAGAGCTCAAGAAGATGGCAGAGAATTTAGCCTTACTCACTAAGGCCTACAATGAAAAGTTTGCAAGGAGAAGTTACTCAAAGTCTGGTGATTACTTTAAGAAAGGCAATGGTTATACAAAGCATGGTTCTGAGATGAAAAGCTACGAGAAGAAGACTAAAAGAAGAGAATAAAAAGAGAAGACCAAGAAGAAAGAATAAGAAGAAGCCTCAGATGCTTCAACTGTGGCAAAGTTGGGGATTTTGTGTGATAACTGTGTTCCAGTTATATAATTTCTGATGATTTTGAAGAGTTTGGTGAGTAAATTATTTGATTTGTACTCATGAGATTTTAAATTCATCTATGATGCACACACACACACACACACACACACACACACACATATATATATATATATATATATTTGACACACACACACATATATATATATATATATATATTTGGGTGTGAAAGTAGAATTTTAAAATATTAAAATTCTTTCATCGGCTTTATATGGCAAGGGTGTAAAAGGCGATATTTTTTAGAAGGCATCTCATTGCCATTTTGGGAAAGAAAGGTGTAAAGAGAGAATGTGTGTTAAGATGTAGAGTGATTTTGTGATCAATTTGGAAGTTGATTCTGTGAAAAATTCATCTTCAAATTCTAGCATCATAAGGTTAGTTTTACAAAAGGCTTTGAATCTGAAAATGATGCTTTTGATGAAACTTTGTTCTACATGATGTTAGTTAAGAACAAAAATGTTGTATGTATATATTCTATTGTTCTTATGCATGGTTTGATGAAGGCTCTTATCAGACATTGTGTTGTCTAATGAAGGACACTTATTATTTTTAGTATTGACCGATTTATAAACAAGATTGGAAAGCTGAGAAGAGATCTATGCTATGAAATTCAAATTACAAAGCTGGTGGATGTCAAACAGAGAATATGGAGGAGCATTATCTACCAAGTTTTTGCAGTTGAAAGGGAAGATAGAAGAATTTATGAGTTTTTTGAAGCATATTTTCCATTCATTCATCTTCAATATTTACTTCAACTCTACATCAAGTTGGCCCCATTTAAAGATAAAGTTTCCAAGTTTAGGATGGGACTCACAACTATTGCACATGACGTACTCAGGGCAACATTATGGGGAGGAATGGTAGACTTCCAACTTGCATTGAATTTGAAAAGGGATAGAGTGTGTCTAATGCCTCTAGACATAAGCGTAGGTGAATTAGAGACACTATATTGTGTGATTCACCAGGCTACATCTACAAGAATTTGCGTGGAAGATTTTTATTGAGAGTGTATGACATGCACATATACAACACTAGCATATCAGATCAATAATTCCTTGGAAAAGAGTTTGTATCATCTCTCATACAGACTGGCCAAAGGTGAAAAAGCTAGTGATTTGGATGAAAAAGGAGATTGAATCACAACTTACATACAGAGAGATCTTTAAGGAGAAATTCATTCCAATCCTTGTGAATAGAAGATTTGCAAAAGGGGAGATTGAAAGTACATGAAGATTGCTTCAAAATTCACCAAGGATAAAAGTCTGAAGAGAAGACTTCAGAATTCTGCATCATAGAATTGCAGAGTTCTAAGTGAAGAAAAGCATGCAAGTCTAACTCTGAAGACTTGTCTTCACATCTCTGTATTACAAGATTTCAGAGTTTGGGTAATAAGATCTCAAACTCATAAGTGTAAAGTCTGAAGAGTTGATCTTCAGAGTTATGGGAGAAGATCCGAAGAGCTTACAAGTGTTAATCTGAAGACGAAGAATGAAAACCTTGAGTTCAGATTTATTCTAACTCTGAAAGAAGAGGATCATGCCTATCCTGAAAACAGATTATTCGCCATAGAGATTATCTTTCCAAGTTTATAGGATTTTGTTACTTTGTTTAATAGATTAGATAATTCTTTATTTATATAGACAAGTTTCTATTCTATTCATTACGATTCAAAGTTGATTCATTCATTGTAAGCAGATTGCTTTACATATTCTGTATAAATAGTCTTCGTTTCAATAAAGTAAAACTTTTGGCTATTCATACTCTATTCTTATTGTCATTAATATTGCTACACGGGCACTTCCAAACACTATATCCCTTCTCGATAGAGTCGATCCTCTCCCACTCACAAATGACCTTGGGCTCTTGAAAGAACCCGATTGGCCCTCCCATCTTCTCTTCTCCCCAACCACAACTCTTTTTCCAAGCCTGAGCAACACTATCTTCCATCACCCTAGCATCTTCTATGGCCTCTTGGAGTATGGACACCTTGACATTTTGTACCAAGGATTTCATTTCACATGCAAGCCCTTTAGATAGGCCTTGATCTTCGTCTTCTCGTCCGAGGACAAGTGCCCCACCTAGTCTAGCTTCTTTATGAAGAGGCTAGAGTAACCAGCCAAAGTCATGCTTCCTTTCTTGAGAGCCCAAAATACATTCTCAATTCGGTATAACGCCATCTCATTGCAATATTGATCCTTTACTTTCCTCTTAAACACATCCTACATGAGTAATCGAATAACAACATCCCTGATGGCAGACCTATAGTATCAGATTCCTCAATTTGTAGTTCAAAACAGAATGTATGTAGTAGAAACTTTAAATGATCCACCAATTTATCAAAAATAAATGAAGAAGATCTCACTATGAATTTTAGTCATCTATATTGATTCAGATATGCTTATTACACTTGAGAGAAATTACAAATTGAAGTTTTAAAGAATTGATCTACCCAAATTGTTTAAAGTGATTGAACTTTAAGTTATATTTAATACAAGACATGAAGATGGTATTTATAGGCTTTAAAAGCTGAAGTCAAAGTACCATTGAATGAAAGGATTCCACATGTAAAAGTGTAGAACAAACTTTGGGTGGGAATGTATGAGAGCAGATCTTTAAAGTCTTCATAAATGATAAGTGTCAACCTTTGGAAAGATGACTTTAGAGATAGTTGTGTCTTCTTGAAATTTATTCAGATCTTTAAAGTGTTAACCTCTTTTTACAACTTTTACATGATAAAATAGGGTTATCAATCTCACCCTATGGATTGAAAAAAATAACTATAAACATAAATCAAGAGGATAAGTAGTTCCTCCCTATTTTATTTAAGATCCAAAACAAAAGATACATCAGAGATTGAGGATACAAAGACAAATTACATTTCAACATCAATAGCATTCGTATAAATTTTCTAGAACCGTATCATTAGATTTCTATATGTTGCAAATATTTTGGTATTGCTCAGAAATTCTTCTCTTAGATCTCTTGGAATCTTTCCATCTTTCTTTGCACATTCATTCTTAGACAAGTCACGGTTGTATTAGAATATATACATGCAACTTTCAGAAATTCTAAAGAATTTATGCACATTGCTTTCAGAGCGATAGGCAGGACCAAACTCTGGATCTCTGATGATTTTACTCGCAATGATTGATCGATGGCCATCCAACTCTTCATTTGGAAGAGGCACCATGAGTTTTCTTTACCAGTTTCCAGAGCTATCTGTAGATCTACAACTACCCTTCCGTTCACTATCTCCCCCATAACCCTTTTGATTTTAGACACAACCAAATTATACTTCTTTCCCTTATCAGCTTTGTTAAGAGGAAATCCCTACAGAGTGATGAAATCCCAACAGTTGACATTGACCGTCATTGTCAAAGAATACCTGGAAATCATTATTTATTCTCTTCACGACCTACCCAAAATAAGCGATGGTTATGTGTGAAAATGTTTTGACCTTTATGCCATGAACTTTCTTTATCTCAATGTTTGACCATACTTGTTCTTAGTGAAGTACTCTTTTGCAAAATATGGCTTCTAAAGTGTTTTGAACTTCAAGTAGGAGATTTAGTGGCTCTGGAACTTCATCCTATTTCTGGTACATGTAGTTATACATCTTTTCAAAGAAAGTTTTCTCCTTATGAGATTACACAGAGGATTGTCTAGAGATAACATATATTTTCAGAAAGTTGAGTTGTTGAATTATTTCTTGGATTCTGTCGACTGGACAAACTCTAGCACTTGACTTTAAGTATTAGCAATAAATCGCTCGTGGATTCTTTGGACTACTAAGATGGCAGCTATTTCTTAACTTACTTTAAAGGTAACATGCTTTTGATGAAGATAAGATCTTGACCTTTTGTTGGGAGACCCCATATATATATATATATATATATTTGGGAAACATTAGGGGTGCAGAGGATCTACCAAGGGACGATAGGACATTCTTCTTTTGAAGCGGAGGTTAGGGGTTGTCCTGATGTTATGGCTTTTCCTCGGTTTGGATTTTTCTCATTTAGGGAATATAGAGAGAGTTATATATTAATTACAGAAGACACTGAATTTGATACGATAAAGGAATAATATCATAACTAAAATAACAACAATTAAGGTAGTTAAATACAATAGTGGTTGGAAATCATATTGACAAAATCAGGATCCTTGATTCTTGCCAATAAGAATGAGGTAGGCGGGTCAAATAATTGTGCATGATTTTAACGTTTTAATTTGAAATAGATAGTTTAGTAATTTATCAATCTTTTCTCATCTCTATGATGTTTGTTCCACCTATTTTGGCTTTTTTTTTCCCACTCTATCTTGTACTAGCCTAAAAATTGCCTAAAAATGGACAAGAAGTTTTTGTTTTGTCACCAAAGGGCCTTTGGCCTAGCGTTATCGTAGCCTTTGTCCTCCTAGTAGGTTTATATTAAGTAGGAGTTATTGCAATTTCTTGTTATTATGTATTGGAATGAATGGGCATTGAGTTGAAGGAAGTCCTAGTTTTGAATAAACTGAAAGACTAAACAGGAGACGATAGGAGTTCATGAAACCAACTCTATCAATATTTAAAGTGATTTTCCATTGATTTAAAGGACCATAATATCTATTGTTGAAAATAGTATTGAACTGGTTCTTATTTTGCCATGGCCATGTATCCAGGTTATCTTACAAACTATGTGAAAATACTTTATGTCCACTTAACAATTGTTAATGTTGGTTGCTAACTTGAAATTGCAACAAATTAATTACAAACGTTGTCATAGAATATTGTTTCATCAGTTAAAAAAAACATATATTTGAATATCAATCTAGTATATACTATACACTGATACTTTATGACTTCCTTTTGAGAATTTTATGAAATGAATGAAAGAAGATTTATCTTATTAGGTGTTTTGAATAAAACCAAACAATTGTTAGGGAGAGAATGATCTATCAAACACTTAAGAATATTTTATTATACTTTCGTAGAAGAACAACAACTTATGGACAGATACATAGACCACATATATACAAGACATACAAACCTGACATATTTAACCGACACACCGTTTCAAAGAGACATATTGTTTCAAAGGAGACGGTTGACACAAACAAAAACTAATAAACGTTAAGAACTTGACGTGAATACGAACCAGGTCTAGCATACAATCTAATATTCCCCCGTATGCTAGACATAGTTTACTCCCAGTTCCTTCTTTAGATAATTGAAACATCCACTGTGAAGCGCCTTGGTTAAAACATCTGCTATTTGATTCTTTGATTCACAAAAGTCTACCTCCACTTCGTGATTTTGAACGAGTTCTCTGATGAAATAAAACTTTATATGAATGTGCTTACTTTTTCCATGGAACACTGGATTTTTAGTCAAGGCTATGGCGGACTTGTTATCGCATAAGATTTTTGTAGCATTCGTTTGAGCCATACCCATTTCTTCCAAAATTCCTCTTAACCATAAAGCTTGGCAGCCTACAAGGGAAAGGGCCATATATTCATTTTCTACTGAAGACAAAGCCACAACCTTTTGTTTTTTTGATTGCCAAGATATTGCCCCTAAACCCATGCTAAAAACGAATCCTGTGGTACTCCTGCTGTCATCCAAACTTCCTCCGTAGTCACTATCGCTGTAACCCTTCAGACTCGGATTTTTAACTTTCGTGTACATGATGCCATGGTCTAATGTTCCTTTAATGAAACGCAAAATGCTTTTTCCAGCCTCCCAATTACTTTTCTTTGGACTTTCCATGAAATGACTAACCAAACTTACCGGAAACATGATATTGGGCCTTGTTGTTGTTAAGTACATAAGACATCCAATGAGGCTGCGAAATAGTGTTAGATCAACATGATCACCAGAGCAGTCTTTAGTTAATTTCAGACCGAACTCCATAGGAGTGATTGCTGGAATAGCCTGATGCATATTGAACCTTCCAAGTAAATCATTAGCATACTTCTTCTGTGACATGAAAATCTTGTTTTCTTCTTGAGTTACTTCAATACCTAAGAAGTAATGAAGAGGACCTACATCTGTCATCTCAAATTCTAACATCATTGACTTCTTAAAATCATCAATTAAGTGAAGAGAATTCCCTGTGACCACCAAGTCATCCACGTATAAGCATACTATGAGAACTTCATTGCTGAGTGATTTTATGAATAGAGTGTGTTCGTAGGTGCACTTCTTGAACCCCTCTTTTATGAAATATCCTTCTATTCGAGCATACCAGTCCCTAGGGGCCTGTTTTAGCCCGTAAAGAGCCTTCTTCAAGTGACAAACCTTATGTTCTTCCCCTTGTTTGGCATAACCACTGGGTTGTTCAATGTACACATCTTCCTCTAGAAACCCATTTAAGAACGCCGATTTAACGTCCATTTGATGGACACTCCAGTTATTTTGTGCTGGATGGCCAATACCAACCGTATAGTCTCTAGTCTGATTACGGGAGTGAAAACCTCCTGATAGTCAATTCCAAATTGTTGTTTATACCTTTTCACGACTAATCTTGCCTTAAATTTATCTACTTCTCCCTTTGCATTCAGCTTTGGTTTTGTAGATCCACTTTACGCCAATAGCTTTGTGCCCCTTAGGCAACTCAACTAATTCCCACGTATCGTTTTTTATTATTGAGTTTATTTTAGCATCCATGGCATCCATCCATATTTTATCCTTACAGGTTTCATCATAGTGTATTGGGTCAGCATCAGTGAGTAAGGCAAAATCTGCAACTGCATCAAAGTCCAGTCGTTGCGTGTTCTCATAAAGATCCCTCATACTTCTCGTCCTTTAAACCAATCTACTTGATGTGTGATCATCTGAACTAGAGGGACTATGAGAGGTATTATTTTGACTAATGGGAGAAGGATTGGTTTGAGGGAGCGTACCAGTTTGATTAATAGTAGAAGGATTGGTTCGAGTGGGCGTACCGGGAAGATCTTCCTCGTCACTTGCTTTTTCTTTGGTTGTTGTTGTCTTCTTTAGGGAAAATGCATGTACCTTTATTATCACATGTGATTCCCTTCCATGCCTTGGACTCATCAAAGATTACATCCCGACTAACAATCACCTTCTTAGTAGATGGATGATAAAGTTTGTAGGCCTTCGTACTGTCACTATAGCCTATAAAAATTGTCTTTTCTGACTTCTCGTCCAACTTTCCTCTTCTTTGTTCATGGATATGGGCATAGGCTATACAACCAAAGATCCTTAGATGTCGCACACTAGGCCTAAAACCACTCCAGACCTCCTGAGGGGTTTTATCAAATAGACTCTTTGTAGACACTCTATTGTTCAGATAGGCTGCACAAGCGGCTGCTTCTGCCCAGAAAACATCGGGTAAATGTTTTGCCTTTAACATCATTCTAGCCATCTCAACAAGAGTTCCATTCCTTCTTTCTGAAACCCCATTTTGTTGGTGATGAATACCATTTTCTTTCAGCTTATCTTGTAATCTTCTTGCAACATATTCACCACCACGATCTGTCCTCAAACATTTTATCTTGTGATTGCTCTGGTTTTCTACCAAGGCTTTAAAGATGGTGAAGTAATTGAATGCTTMTGAMTWTTCTTTTARAAAATAWATCCACACTTTCYGACTRTAATCGTCAATRAATGTAAGGAAATATCTACTTCCTCCAATGGACAAGGTCCTCATAGGACCATATATATCTGAATGAACAAGTTCAAGGGGTCTTGCTACCCTCCAAGCCGTATCGTGTGGGAAGGATTCTCTAGAGTGTTTGCCTAAGGTGCATCCTTCACATACATCGTTCATGGTCTGAATTTAAGGTAAGCCACATACCATCCCACTTCTTTGCATGTGAGTAAGAGAACCAAAGTTTACATGTCCCAAACAGTAGTGCCAAAGCCATGAGGCATCCTTAATTGTCATGCTAAATGAAAAAAAGTTGCTATCGTCAAACCTGATAGGGAACATCTTATTTGAGGTCATGTTTACGCTTCCAACTAACGTATTGGAGGCATCCCTTATTTCACCGATGCCATTCTTGAAACACACATTGTATCCCTTTAGGACTAGTTGACCCACACTCAAAAGATTGTGTTTTAATGCGGGCACATAAAACACGTTTGAAATCTTTTTCCCTTTGTCTCGAATCTTGATTGATATTGTTCTGATCCCATATACGACCAATCTTTTGTCATCGCCAGTCCTAACTTCTTTCTTTTCGAAATTTTCCAAACATACAAACAAATCCTTGTTCCCCGTCATGTGGTTACTGCATCCGCTATCCAAGTACCAAAGATCATTTTGCGTGAAGTCTTGAATACTTAACATCATGAACATGGTGTCATTTTCCTTGCTTTCCTATTTGTGCATAAAACCAGATGCTTTATTTTCTTCAAAATTCTTTTTCTTGCAGAATTTTGCGTAGTGGCCAAATTTTTGGCAATTATAGCATTGAACTTGGGATAAGGGTCTGCCCCGTCTTTTACCTTCATATTGATCTTCCTTGGTTTGATCGGTCTGCCAAGAAGATTGAGTTTGAAATGCTTGTTCAAGAACAGGAGCATCAAACTGATTCATCCTCAGTTCATGTGACTGCAACGTTCCCATGAGACTTTCAAGCAAAAAATCAGACAGATTCTTGGATTCTTCGATTGCTACAACGACATATTCGAATTTCCTTGTGAGACTACATAAAAAAATTTCAATTACTCTTCTATCTTCTATTGTTTCTCCATTCAGACGCATTTGGTTTAACATAACGATGACATGGTTGTAAAACTCCTCTATCGATTCGATTTCCTTCATTTTCAAATTATCAAACTTGCATCTTAAGGTTTGTAGCCTTACAACTTTAAACTTCTCTTCCCCTCTATAACATCTGAAAAGTGAATCCCATGCTTCCTTTGACGTTTCTGCTATAGAGATGCGTTAGAAGATGTTTTCGCCAATTGCCTGATAAATCAAGAACAATGCTCGCTTATCATTTTTCTTTAATTCGTTAGACTGTTGTTCTGTTAACACAGTGGGATTTTCCGGTTCAGTAATTCCATCTTCAATGACACTCCATAGGTCTTGCGATTCAAATAACACTTTCATTTGCAGGATCCAATGAAAATAGTTTCTACCGGGTAACTTGGGTAATTGTAGGGGTGGTTGAAGAGAACTGAAGATGCCATTTGAAATGGCTCTCATACCAATTTGTTAGGGAGAGAATGATCTATCAATCACTTAAGAATATTTTTATTATATTTTCACAAAAGAACAACAGCTTCTCGACATATACATAGACCACATATATACACAAGACATAAAAACCTGACATATTTAACCGACACATTGTTTCAAATAGACATATTGTTTCAAAGGAGACAGTTGACAAAAACAAAAACTAAAGGACATTAAGAACTTGACGTGAATACCAACCAGGTCTAGCATACAATCTAATAACAATATGCGTGAAAACGACTCACCTATATAAAACGCAAGAAAATCACAAAATTTTCAAAGGAGAAAACAATGTAAAACTTAATATTTATTAGCATTAAAATGCTAATGTGAGAAATGTTAGAATCACATGATGATTTTCAAAGGACTAGCTCGTCTCTTGTGGATTCATATAGGAAGATGTCTCATACGTCGAAGTGGTCTTGGAGGTGTCTACCTGAATCCTCAGGGCATGATCATTGATTGTAGACCTCATCAGAAGCCTTTCATCAAGTAAACGTTCACTTAGAAGTGTAACCACTTCAGACATTGATGGTCTCGCTGAAGTTGTTGGTTGTGTGCACATCAAGGCTATCTCTATGACTTTCTTGGCGTCTTCTGTTGCATATTCACTTGGATCCAGTGTAGCATCTATAAGATGCAAATGCATATCATTCTCATATAGACTTCTTGCCTGTCATAAACGATAGAGAAGAAAATTTAAATTCTCATTTTTAAAAATATTTTAGTTAGAAACCACATCTAAGAGGTAAGAATTATTCCATCAATCAATTGGTACATCCTTGCTAATTCACTTGGCACACTATAGGTGGGATTATGTCATTTAGGTTATCATGAGAAAGCACAACCAATTAGGTAGGGTGACCAAAACTGAAATATTGGCTATATAATTATTGAAAACAATCTTAGTATACACTAGAGAAGAAAGAAAAATGAGCATGTGATGCTAATAGCTTAACTTAAAGATGCTTACATTCTCAACGAAGTTTAGTGAGATGGGTTCATTTTCTATCTTGTTGTTGCACCACTTTCCACTAATGATTTCAAGGATGACAACACCAAAGCTGTAAGTATCAACTTTCTCAGATAAGTGTCCGTTAATTGCATATTCCGGTGCTATATAGCCATTATATCTAGTAAGAGAATGGCAACAACCCATTAGAATTTGCATTTTTCTTGCAATAACAAGACTGGATTAGTAGTAACATTAAATATGATTCGACGTACAAGGTTCCCATAACTTTGGTACTCAGATGAGTCTTATCTTCTGGCAATAGTTTTACTAGCCCAAAATCTGCAACTTTTGGTTGAAATTCAGTGTCCAATAGAATATTGCTAGATTTTATATCTCTGTGAATGATTGTAACATGGTACTGCTCATGTAGATATGCAAGACCCCTGGCTGTACCAAATATTATATCAAACCTTTGTTTCCAATTTAGGCTGCTACGTTTGTCACCTAACGATGACAACATATTACTTTAGTACTCGAACATTCGTGCATAAAAAGTGAAAAACAGAAGAACTAAAGACGATGGTTTAACTCACCATAGAGATATTTGTCAAGGCTACCATTTTCCATGTACTCAAGGACAAGATATAAGTGAGATCCTTTACTACAATATCCAAGGATTCGTATAAGATACCGGTGATGAACATTACTGATGATTTTGATTTCACCGTCCATGTATGCTTTTCCTCTCTTCGATGCAATGGCTATTTTCTTTATTGCAACAGTATTTCCATCCTTCAGAACACCCTGATTGATGTCATTTACCAAAGCAGTCAAAAGAAATGTACCAAACTTTTCAACTTGTTCCGCTTGATCATTGCAATCGATGTCATATGATTAGGGTTGTTCGAGTGATGAGTTTATGATGAAATATTAACGGTAGTGAGTTCAACTCCCTCTCTAAGCGTTTTTTGGAAATTACTAGAAATATGTTACAAAACTTCAACCACTTTTGGGGGGGGGGTCCTATAATTTTCTTGTAAAATATTGGTTGGAAGTATTACCTTATAAACTTCACCAGACCCTCTTCCAATTATGTTTTCTTCATGAAAGTTATTTGTTGCTATTTTTAAGTCTTTGTAGGTGTAAGCAGTGGGCCTTTGCAACATCTCAGTTGCTCCAGTTGACTTACCTGATAGTTTAGAATCAAATAATCAATACACGAAATTTGAAATGATGGGAAAAAGAGTGCTAAAACATTGTTTCCAACTTGAAATTGGTATGAACTTTAATTTGAGACATCTATGACAGAAACCCAATGAGTTTTCTTAAAATCAGTTCTTTCTTTTTCTGAGTAAAGATATTTACCTTGTCCATGGTTGTATGGCTTTCTTGAGCGACGATGCCAAAAGAGAAAGGCAAGTATAAACAACAGAAAACCAATAGCACCAACAACTCCCCCAATAATGGATCTCAAGTTGCTCGAAGATCCTGTCAAACCCATGATATTTACATAAGCATTTGATATAGATACAAGATATGTGTTAATCCCAGCTAAAGTCATCAGGTTGTTCTATGGTTTGTTCTGGAATCTATGTACATGTATTTATATTGCAATTCTTTATGGTTTAATGAGTGTAAACTAAATACAACACTGATGAAACATTATGGCATGATGATATGGAATTAAGGATATGATGGTTCCACTCTACTACTTGTATCCAGACAACGTTGTCGTTATAGAAAACCTTTAGCAACATCAGAATAATGGAATTCCATAACATAGGAAAGGTCGTTTCTAGAAGAGAATATCTCTTACCATTCTTTAGGAAAGGTGCGATGTCAGTTGTTTGATTGACTCCAAAAAAAGGAGTTTCAGAATATCGCATAAAACATCCACTATCAATTGCCCTTCCAAATGTATTAGGAAGACAACCATCTAATGATCTATGTCTGATCTTTAGACAATCCACACAAACACTTTGGCTTAAGTTGCGACTACATTGTGCAATAGCGTACACTGTTACGTTACTGCCAGTAAGTTGCCTTGCAGAAGCAACAAAGAAATTTGATGTCTTTGGTGTTGCGATCTGAAGATCTGAAAACAACCCTCTTGCTGTTTTTTGGAGTTCCTTTGGATGGGATGATGTTGTATTGCCACATATTCCAACACTAGTTTTGATGATAGCCTCATCGTAGAAGTCATTGTTCTCATACCTACATCACCACAAAGTCTTTTAGCATGAAATTGTAACTGTTTTAGCCATGATATTCTTGTAAAAAGGTTCTGGTTCTTCAAAAAGTTAATAGACAATATTAAATAAATTGTATACCCAAATATAGGTAATCACCTGAGCTCACAATCATCGTAGAAAATATGAGCACCATTGCCGAGGCCACATACTTTCATATAAGCAACACCAGTGTCAAAACAAGCTAGACAAGCTGCAGTGGAGAGATATTCTCTACATAAAGCTAGCCCATAGACCGATTCGCCATTGATTAAAGTCTTTGCAACAGCGTGGTATTTGTTGGTTTCAGATAACTGCTTTCTAAGGCTAGAAAAGGTGGTATTGAGGTTCCTGAGGAAAAATGGCCCGTTCATGACTTGGTAAAAACTACAATACCATCTGATCATTGTGTTATTTCTATCGATCTTTTGGGATGTCACTGGTTCTGCCATGACTGTCAAAAGCAATGCCAATAGACCGACCACCCACCACCTCGATCGCCCATTTGTGGCCAATCTCATCATATCCTCCTCCCTTTTGTTGGTTTAGATTTTGTCTTTACTTTTTCAAGAGATGCTTCAATTCCAGGAAGATAAGTGTTAGTGTTTATAGGAGATGGATAATGGCTTTAGAGATACATTAATTAATTCCAAATATAGTCTAATATTTCCAAACCTAAAGTGTTAAAGTATCACATCGACTACTTTTATATATGTTAGAATCTCTCTTGACATTCTCTTAAACCTTATCCGTTCCTTTCAATATATTTGTTACTATGTCTCCTGAGTGATACATGTTAAAAGTCAGCTTTTTCTAGTGAATTCATGGTTTTCTTCACATGCTTAACGAAAGTGAGTAAACTAAAAACATGCTTCAAACTATTGAGCTATATAGTGAAAAACATACAACTTGCAACATTTGTAAAATATAGCTATTCAAACAAGGGTATAGGTGCTATTTCACCATGCTATTGGCCTACACAAAAGTTGTCATCCTTACAGAGGCTATATTCCCAAGCAACGACCAAAATATTACCAGTAAACTTCACAGTTACTTGCGGAGTAAACTGTCGAAAATCTTCAACATATTTATAAAAACACACATCTCATAACTTTCTAACTCTTTTACGAGACTGTAACGATTATCTCATTTCAAAATACTCACTAAATATGTTCTATGTACATGTATTTGTACATAAAAAAACGTGTTAATAATATTCTTCAACCAAAGAGTATATATAAATCCCAAGTTTGACTTGTCCAGAGTTTCGAAATCAAGAACCATCGCTAAGTTTGGAGATTAAAAATCTCTAAATCAAACATTTACTCGTTTTGGGATATAATAACGACAATTCTTTAGATCTACAAGTAACTGGAATCGGAATCAACCTTGTAAATGAATATTTACCAGGCAATCGTTTAATTGGATAATTAATTAAATGAGAATCAACGCTTCAATTGAAACAAACTTGAACTAAAAAGAATTGAGTTAATTTTTTCATAGAAACCTCTTTCCAAATAAGACATTTTACGTTAATTAATTAATTAAGTTAGACTAAACAAGCCTAATTAATCAAGTAATTATAACTTAATAATAATCAAAAAGCATTTGCTTCCTACTATTCTGTCCAACCGACATGCATACATGCATGTTCTATGGGGAAAGGACTTCGGCTAAAATGAGGTCGTTGCCTCACACATTCTGTTATACCCTCCACACAAGAGACCTGCCTCACAGACCGCGACTAACGTCACCAACCTTCCTTGCCGTGGCCGGTCTGGTGGCATGGTCTACTCTTTCTCTCACTCTCTATTTCGTTCAAACCCCTCTCCAGTGGTATTCGACCCCGGGGACGTGAAGGCCCCACTGGACATACGTTTGATAGTTGGCTCCGGCACAACCTATGACCAAAACTCCTTCCAACCCTAGATCGATACCCATAACTCAACTAACAACTCAACATGAAACCAACACAAATAGCCATTATTACATGTATGTATAATATATATATACACACACACAGTAACTCGACATAGTAATTTTTATTTTCTTCTCGAGTCAACTTGAAACTCAAACCTAATCGTCACTTGGGTGATGTATCAAACACCTCGTTACCGATTGATGATTCGGATCATGAGGCTAAAACCCAAATCTAAAAGTTGAACCAAACTGAAGATACACATACCTCAACCGTGATTTCTTCACCAAAGAGTTGGAACCATTCTTCTTGATGCCACAACTGCTGACTATCTCTTCTGCATTTATAGTATGTGGTGTGGGTTTTTCTTTTCATCTCTTCTTATAACACTTGGATTGAGATGGATTTATCCCTCTTGGTGGACAAATTTGCGGATTTCGTGGGCTATCCATGTTTGCTTCAGGTTTGAAGTGGTCAACACCTTAAAATCTCTCCTCCACTTTACACACTTGACACATTTGGTCCCTAGTTTGAATCCTTCTTTGATTTCCACTTGAACATATTTTACAATTTGCCCCAAAAATTGGGTCTTATTATACTCTGGGTGGGACAATCTGTAAATCTCAAAGGAAAGGGAGGTTTATAGAATTATATGGTAGATTACAACAAAATCCACTTTATGAAATTTTAAAATGTTTAAGGGGTCATTTACCTAAATACTTATCCGGTAAGTATTTACCAATAAGAGTCAACACCATAATCTATTTTACCAGATAAGATTGTAGTATATTAAAACGGTATCATATGTAACAATTTACCCGGTAAACGCTTACCTGAGTAAGAGTCCTCACCATCACTTACCGGATAAGACTCTCTATCCCTATCATCGCTCTTACCAGGTAAGATTTTCAGCCCTTGTCATGTATATCAGGTGAGGAAAGTTACATGATCCACACTTACCGGGTAAGAATTTAGTAAACGGCTCCTAAGTGTCTTGATAGAGTGATTACATGACTTATTACAAGACCAAAAAATAAAGCATTACAACTAGAAATGTTGCAATAAGTTTATAAATTGTGGTTTAAGCTATTTTAGAGTTCTAGTTGAAAAAAATGTCCTACAAACACATGTATCATATATAAAAAGATGAAAGCTGTTCTACAATATAATAATACGACATTTTATATTTAAAAAGGCATAAAAAATTTGTTACGACGTTAAAAAATGTCCTTAAACTTGTTCATATTTAGATATGACATTTTATTTTTGATTTTCTAAAACTAAGTTTTATAAGACACTCTTTTAGGACATTTGAACACTTTATGTGTCCTATAAACCTGATTTTATTGTAATGGTATCAGAGTCAATGTCTATCATTCTAACACTACCAAAAAAACCCCTTTTTCCGGCGGCCAAATCCGCCGGAAATCCGCCGGAATTTCATTTTTCCGGCGGATTTCCGGCGGATTTGGCCGCCGGAAAAAGGGTCGCCGGTGATTTTTTTTCTGGCGGTTTTTCCGGCGGATTTTCCAAGTTTCCGGCGGATTACGGCCGCCGGAAAATATCCGCCCGTTTTTTAAGAAATCTTGATTAAATTAAAAAATAATTAAAAAAATTTTTGAAAAAAATTCTGGCGGAATATTCCGCCGGAAACGTGTCTCGCCGGAAATATTTTTGAAAAAGAAAATAATATTAAAAAAAATTAATTTTTTTTAAAAATACCGGCGGATAAATCCGCCGGAAATCCGCCGGAATATTATATATTAAATATTTTCTTTAAAGAATTAATATTTTAAAAATAATTATTTTTTTAAAAAAATACCGGCGGATTTGGTCCGCCGGAAATATATATATAATATTATTTTAAAAATAATTTTAAAATTAATATTTAAAACCTGTATTTAAAAACTGCAAATCTGTACAATATTAAAACTGAAAATAAAAAGGCTAAATCGAACTTAATATCATCCATTAAAGTGAAACTACAATTATTCCAACCCTTAATTAATAAATTCGCCGGAAATCCGCCGGAATTATTACCGATTTAGGATTTCCGGCGGATTTCCGACGGAGTTCCGGCGGAAGTCAACAAAAGTTGACTTTGTTAATTTCCGCCGGAAATCCGCCGGAAATACCCAGTTTTCTAGTAGTGTAACTACGGTTATCTGTCCTCATATTCTCTCGATATTTTGAGGCAATTTATATTCGTCTAGGTTCCATTATTAAGAGTATATATGAATATTTGGTTGAGTTTATTCTAAATCATATTGTTATTTCTTTTTCTAACTCCAATAAGTGGTTTGTTATGATATATTCTCACAACTAGTCTAATAGAACACCTTAGTTTTTTATATTATATATTTATTTATTTTTGTTGGTAAACTGGTCACTTATCGTTTTTTACCAGTAAGAAACTTACCGGGCAAAAAATATGATCTTTACTAACAATTTTTCATTTTGTTAAAGGATAATCTTATGATGGTCTGTTTTACCCGGTTAGTGCTTAATTACCAGATAAAATACGCTTATACTATGCTATTTTGATGTCCAGTAACTTTATCACTAAGATAAATGAGGGTAGTGACTCTTAATTGATAAGTGTTTAACCAATGTGTGTTGATCGACGACCCCTTAATACACTTTTATGTATACATGAACAACAAATGTGGGTCTTATATAAAAATGTTATAATAAGTTGTCCTAATGAAACTGAATAACCTACTAAATTACGCACCCATAAAACTGTGAGAATATATGAAACCTCTATATATATCACTCTCCGAACATGTTTTTGAGGAGAAAATAAAGGTCCCAACATATATACAGGGGAAATAGTCAAGTTTAGCCGATGTGAGACTCCAACAAAGAAAATTTTACAAACCCAATTAAATTACATTAACATACAATGATAAAACTGATTTTATAGGACACATAAAATGTAGAAATGTCCTAAAAATAATTTACAGAACTTAAGTTTACAGAACTAAACCAAAATGTCTCTTATCTGTGAGTGTGTTACATTAGGTTTATAGAAGACTTTTAGACGTTTTAACAAGTTTTTTAAAATGCTTTTAACATAAAGTACTGTCGTATTAACTATTTTAAAAAGTGTCATAGGAACATAAAGTGTCTGATATAAAGATTTGGTTTATAGCACATTTCTCAAAAAAAATTTATAAAATAGTTAATATGATATTTTATTTTAAACATGACGTAAAAACTTGTTAAACGTCTGAAAACATTCTATAAATTTAAATAAGAACTTTTATAGTTTGATCTTATAAAACTAAATTATATAAAGTTTTTATTTGATGCTTAAACAATCAATACGTGCTATAAAACCAATTTTATTATAATTAGAAGGGTTTTCGCGTAATGCAGCAAGATAAATCTTCATTTTAATGTTTAGCTTTTATCATGTTTCTAGCGATATAATACAGTTTTTATGTTGTTTTGAGAAAACGATAATGTTTTTAGTTTTGAATGAAAAATATAAATTTGAAGATAGCATTAAAAACTTGAAAAAAATAAATCGATATTATTATCAAATTAACTATTTAGTAGTTGTCTTTTTTTTTTTGTGTTACTTCTTTAATTCAATCTTTTATTATACTTTAATTTAGATTTAATAACAAAATAATTTATTTTTAGTTTAATAATATAATTTTTTATAAAGATAATAATTAAACATTCTGTTAAAACTTAATAATTATTTTAATTATATTTTAGATTTTTTATAGTTAAAATGGATGTTTGTCCTGTATTTTATTATTTTTATCTGTATTTAGTTATACGAATTTAAAAACGAAGATTTCATAAATTCTACTTACACAAAATTACTTGTAATCTTGATTTTTAATTAATATGTATTAATAAACAGTAGTTCATGTATAAAAATAATTTTTAAATTTTTTTATCAAATACTTTATAATATAACTAAAAAAATACTTGTGAAATACGATTAAAAATTATATTTTAACGAAAAAAATTGAAAAAAAAAAAAAAAAAAAAAACAAACTTTGTTTCATGTTACGGCTGCGCAGCCACATGGACTTTCCACGGTTGACTTTGATATACATTACAATTTTTGTTCCTATAATTACATTCAATCATAACTTACATTCCTAAATTTTAATAATTACAATAATGATTATTATGATTTATATTTTATTTTGAAAAGAATATTATAAATTCTGTTAGGGGCCGTTTATCAAATACTTATTTGGGTAAGCGCTTACCAAGTTATATTATCTTACCGGATGAATATGATAATGACCAAGAATCTTACCTGATAAGGACGAGACAAACACCGAGAGTCTTACCCGGTAAGCGAGAACAATAACTATTACCACGGTCAGATTTTACCGGCTAAATTGTTGTATAGAAAACCGTTTTTATTGACTAAAATCTTATCTAGCAAGTAAATGATAGTGTTGAATTTTACCGTTAAGTGCTTGGTAAACGGCCCCTTAGTCAAAAGTTTGTTAACTAAAAGATATTTCAGTTAGGGGCATATATAGGTTGGGTTGGGTGGTTTACGATAGTTTTACAACTCAACTCGATTATTACGGTTTGGAAAAATCTCAACTCAACACGACTCATTCAAAATTATAACCTAACCTTTGCAAGTTAAGACGAATTGAATTGGATTAGCGGGTCACTAATTACATATATTTGACGAATGATTAGATTTTTAAGAACAATTAAACAATTATTATGTATATATATTATATGAAAAGGGTACAACAAATCATGAGACAATGCATGAACAACATAAAAACTCATACTCATGTTCTCATTATAAAAAATCCTATCATAAAATAAGACTTAAGAAGTAGATGAGCAGCCACATAGTTGACTTTCGTTTTGGAATGACCACATTAACGTTCCATCGTTGACTTTTACTGTCATGTTCTTCAATAATATTCAACCATGTTCTTGTATTAATTACGTCCTCTTTGGAAACATTTTATAGATTATTTAAATAAATGCTTCAAAGCGTTTGTAACTTTGCATGGATACGAATTTTTAATTCATTCTGTGCTTCAATACATATAAAATATTTGAAATCTTGTTTTATGTTATGTGGTGTATTCAGGAGTTTGTTTATATAATCGAAACATTTTGATTCAAGAAAACTTAATTGTGTCGGTTTGATAATAAGTTTTTACGGAGGCAATCGAGCTTGACTTTTAAACCAAGACGAAACATTACATCTAATGTCCGACGTGTTTTTTGTGACACATTCTACCTTTACGGGGAACTTTTTTTGGTTTTTCGTTGAGTGTATAATCGGCAAATAATCAACAAAATAT